CAGCCTATAAAGTAGGGCCGTCTTCATGTATTTACTATTAATCTACCATGCCAGTCCCCAACTCTCACACTTCTCCACCGTCAACCGCACAATAACCAGTTAATTTATAAGTCTCTCGATGGCGGCGTTGAGGTCCCCTCCTGTAGCGTTGAGCGCCTGCAGGTTGGCTGCGCGGTCAACGAAGCCCATGGTGTTGAGCTGCTCTAGCTGGTGCCTGAACCGATCATCTGGGCCCTGAAGCTGTGAGGAAGGAGAGGAGGCATGAGGTCAGAAACTGCTTATCTACAGAGGGGTACCTTTTATTTAAAATACGTTATTTATTTAGTGAGTGAAGAGATTTTTTCAAATTATTCTGTATGCTTATACTAGAACACGCAATATTTTTCTTGTCCAAATACAATCAAACTGACATGAAACACTTTAACAGCTAACTATCAAATTATAAACAAACGCATGTCATATTTTACGTGTTACAATCTTAACCTTACCAAAAAGGGAAAAGAGCTAATCAACTGTAATTGATTTACAATCCACTGAAATCATTAAAAGTTAAAGTTGTGAGCTTGCTTGCTTATGTAAATCATAATACATATAATGTTACAGTTGCCCATATTGTCGACAGTAACTGTGGGGCAACATATTGCATTACAAAGGCTGACCAGAAAAAAGACAAATACAAAACGTATGGAACTGGAATATTCGTGTTGCTCTGATTTTGGAAAACAGAACACTTTTAGGCAATTAGACGAAACATACTGATGGCCCGCCCTCTGAGAACATCTGTAACATCTGCTGCATGAGCTGCTGCTGAGAGGGACTGGATGCTGTTGTCATGGCAGGAGGCTGAGGGTTCACCTGGGGGATGCTGCCCCCTGTGACTGGAGGAACTGTGAGACCTCCAGGAGACAGTCTAAAAGTGGAGAGATAAATGTCAACAACCCAGATGTACCATGACTTGAAATAACCACTACAAATAACAACCAACTTCTAAAACAACAGTTTGTAGGATTTGGCGGCATCTAGTGTTGCAGTGTATCAGATTGGAACCAACTGAATACCCTGAATTTTTCCTTTGTCATGATTTAAATGACAGAAGCAATTTTGACCAGATTAAGACAATTATACAGGATTAAAGCATCCTATTAAGAGCATGAAGGTGTTACCTGGACAGGAACCCGGGGGCTTCTGTCTGTAGGGTCTGCAGGCCCTGCTGGATCTGGGTGAGGGCCTGCATGGCTCTGGGGTTGGTCAGCATGGACAGTGTCTCCGGACTCTGAATCTGTTCAACAACAAACATGACACAAAACAAGTCAGTTAAAATCCCAGCCAAATCCTCAGAGATGATACTTTCTATATCTTGTTTACACAGATAGCAATTTGGATGCATGCATACATTCTCCATAGAGCATTATGAACCCTGGGGAGGCTCTTAAGGTTACCAAGCACCCAGACCTGGTTACACATAATCTCTTTCATCATTGCAATGGTATAAGATCTATCGAGGTACTGAATGTTTAAAACGACAAAAACACTGAGAGTTGAGGAAGATGTCAGGCAAGCAACTAATGTCTCATTGGACTTGGGATTTAACTCTAAACTAGGGATGCCAGTGATTATTCGATTATTCGTTACAGTCTCCATAATCGAATATTATTTTTAAAAATCGATTTTATTTATATATTTTTTTATTATTATTTATGTATTTTTTTTTCTTCTCGCTTAGTTTCAACCAAAATATAGACTAATGCTAATAATAGTAATAGTATTAATAATTGTAAATGGCCATTGGTCACACCACCAGTTTGTTTTACTGTAAACTTGGAGGAAGCCTGCGTGCCCGCGGGGGGGGGGGCGGGTCGGTCGAATAATCGATTATTATTCGCCAGGGCTGCCGAATAATCGATTTTGATCATGGTCAGTTTCTGGCAACCCTACTCTAAACCCAAAGTGTACCTTATCTAGTTATACCAGGGATTTTGAAAAAATAAAAATGCTAATAAAACCAAAGTCTGTGCAAGCAATTTATCGGGGGACACCAAAGGTTAAAACTAAGACAGAGAAAAGATATGATGAAACCAATAATTTAGTAGCCTTACAATGTGATTGAAAACAAACTGCAATGTCAGGACATGTACAGTCAGAGAAGGGAAAAATAAAGGGCCAAGATAATCTAAAACGAGTGGGTGACAGTCTAGTGACTATAAAATTAAAACTCAAGGTTGGAGTTGTGGCAAAACGTGCAAGATCGGATTGTTTCAAATGTAGCTAGTTTACAAGCTAGTTTTAAGCTAATATGTAGCCAAATCATTATCAAATTATATCAAAAAGCCTGCTCCAATATGATTGGTTTATACTACTCAGGCCGCAATTCGAAACCTGAATGTTTCCTGCACCCACAATTTGTGCCGTTACATTCAGTTTCTACACGTGATAGCAGAATCTGTTTATATAGTTAAGACAGCCTAACTACTGCAACTTTTAACACAAGATACATCTTTGTTTTAGGGCTCAGCAGCACTGACCCGTCTCATGAGCTCAGGGTTGTTGAACATGCTGGAGACGTCCGGGTTACTGTCCATGAGATTCTGCATCTGAGGATTGCCTGCTAACACTTGTCTCATCAGGTCTGGGTTGGACATCATGTTTTGGACCATGGGGTTGCCCATCATCTGCGTCAGCATTGTTGGGTTAGACATCAGCTGACTCTGCACCTGCTGCTGCATCTCCATGAAGCTGGACGAACCCATGCCCAGACCCAACAGGCCAGACAGGTCCCCGAGTCCACCTGAGGAGGAGGAGGAAAGCTGGAGATTAGATACTTGCAGGAACACAAACCTGTTGACTATTGGAACAAAAATATATTTTTGCCATAGGATTTTATTGCTTTGATTAGACCTCCCAAAAATGTTTTTACATTTCTAAATGTATAAATCTTACCCATTGGATTAGCAGTTTGTGTTGGAGTCTGACTCATGCCACCCTCTGCTCTGTCTGCTACAGTGGGGTTTGTGGTGATGCTGCTGTAACTTGGAGGGTTTCCATAATTGGAACTTGTCTGAGATGGGCCATCACCTGTTGATCTACAGACAGAGAGCAACCATTAAATAAAACGTTCACAAGGTGTTAGCTTTGTGACCCGCACACAAATTGTACCTACTTTGGGACAGTCTTGATGACAAGGTGAACAGTTAACCCGTCTTTGATACCGTGCTGCTTTAAAGGATCACCATCCTTCAGAATCTTTCCAGCAAATATCAACACCAGCTGGTCCTGCTGGGCCTCAAACTTTTTGGATACCTCCTGTTTGAACTGGACAAATAAAACAAAAGCAAGTGAGCCACTCCTCTTCAGTCCCTAAAAAAATGTTTAGTAGTTGTTAAGTTAAATATAATATCAACTGCATTAATATGTATCGCGTGGCCCTGTTTTGAAGAGGGATGCTTTTTCCAAATCTAGTTGTAAAACCTTTATTATTTATAATATTTGTTTGTATTGTGCACACATTTAGCTAACCAGGATCGGATAGTATTATTGTAAACTGGTTGGTTGATGATATCGGCAAAATATAAAAAAAACTGCCAGTGTGCAGATGATCTAAAAACCAGATGGTAAATCTCCCCAGATCAATTTATTCCCAATTAAAATAGAATATTACTAATCTGTTTTCGATGAATTGATTTGTCATACTTTATTAATGTTATTGCTGTAGCAACTAAACTCCCAATTGATGTACAATTTAGAGGCTAAGCTGTTTTCACGGTCAATTGTTATAGCTTTTCCAATAAGTATTTTTTAACTTTGTTTTATAAGGTGCTGTATGAATAAACTATAATTATGTATATATATATATATTATTATTATTTTAAACTGTTGTGTGTTTTTTCGTTTTTGTTTGATTGTTCCAGACCCACATTTGTTTTCTTTCTTGGGGCCACAAGAGGGATAGTTTTTGCTTAATTTTCACAGATTGGGTGATTATTATCAGTACTACCAAAGAGTAGGAATACTCGCTCACAAGTAAAAGTCCTGCAATCAAAATGTTACTCAAGTACAAATTGAAAAGTATTAGCATCAAAATATACTTAAATTCCCAAAAAGTAAAAGTACTCATTATGCAGATTGGCCCATTTCAGAATCATATATATGTTTTACTTTAAAGTATTGATGCATTCAAGTGTTATCAGAGCTGGTGGAGCATGTTTTAAAAATACGTTTGTATACTGCAAGGTAGTGTTAATTAGTAGTGTCACTAAAGTATTATTTAAGTATTATTTATGCAGTGGAGTAAAAGCACACGATTTACCTCTGAATTGTAGTGGAGTAGAAGTACAGAGTAGCAAATGTAAATACTCAACTAAAGTACAAGTCCCTGAAAATGTAAGCAAGTAACTTTACACTAGTGTCAGTAACTTTTTTAGTAATATTGGTCAACAGCACCACACCCAGATACATGTCAATGGGCTAATGTAAGATAACATGAAGGCATTATCTCTTCAGAACAAACTAAACAACGATTGGTTTCACAGCAGTTTCATTGTTATAATGAATAAACCGTTATACGACGTCAGTGTCGAAATTAGCCAAATATGGTTAGCTCTTATCTGCTAATCATACGCAGGTCCACCGTCGTAGGAAATATTTAAACGTTTATTTCGCACCGGGATTTTTGAAATTAGTATTATAGTAATATAGTAAACGTTTTTTAGACCACGAAAATAGATTTTATAACGTATCTCGCTGCTGGATAGTTAATTAAAAATACGTTTTGACCTTTCCTCGGATGTCTACGAGTAAACGCGTGATGACGGGTGCATGATTTCTACAGCCGGTTTTTAAAAAGCTCTGTTACCTCTGAGACAGAAGAGTCCTCCGATATAGAAATGTCCTCTTTTCCATTGGGGGTTTTGACAGTGATCACCATCATAGATCCTCCTGAAGCAACAGTGTTATCCATGTTGTCATCCTCCGTGCGATCTGTGTTGCTATTGTCGGCCATCTTTACTACTGCTTCTTCTTCTGTGTTACTTCCGGTTTAGTTGAAGCCACCACCCATCGGTCTCCACACCGTTGCATATTTGGGATATACTAGGCTTGTTTGAGACACATTGCGGCTCGCCTCGAAAGTAGACGAGAGTAGCCGATCGCAGCCGGGGGAGGTGTCAAAAAGCTCGTCTTAAGTCGGACAGCTCGGAGTCGGAGTCGGCTTGACTGGCTGGGTTTGCAATGGCGGCAATTGTGTTGGCGTTTTTCGTTGCAGATGAAGTGGATGCAATAGAAATCCCACATGTATTGTATGGAGAATGGCATGATGAACACCGTCTGCCGAGGTAATTACGTATCTTTTTATTTTTTAATTTGATAGGGACAGAGCATGTTAATGAACATCAGTATAAAATACAAGAAGTATAAATGTGTTTGAGCAAACGTGCTAATTTACATCCGTAGTAGGCTACCTAGGCAGGTAACAAAAACAGATACACAATACAATACACAAGTAAAAAGACACAATATATTGTTGCATCAGTCTAAATTAAAAAGTATGATCGATTATCCGGACTGATTACTTTACAGATCACAAATTGTGCAAAATTATGACACTATTAGTCTTTTTTAGTCCAATGGGATAAGATAAAAGCTACTTTACTAAAGATATAGAACGCAAGCAAGATAGTAGTACAAAGATACAATAAATAAACAAGAATACAACTGAAATCAAGTGAAGATAATATAGGCCTACAGCAGCAGCAGCAGTTATATATATATATATAAAGAATGTTGAATAGGTCTAATGATTTATGGTCATCATTTGCTCCTGTGTCTGCCTTCCTTAGATCCGTTCCAAAGGTCCAACAATTTGTGGAAGAAGTGGTCCCACAGTAGCCTACAGTCCTTCAGACTTCAAAAGTCATTTCCGATTGTCCAGGGGACATGTGGAAGTATGTGTGTGTGTGTATATATATATATATATATATATACAAATAACATCAAATATGTATTATCTGGACTGGTGATATTAAAAGCCATTTATTCCTTTCTACCAAACAGGATGTGATGACGACTATTGGCCCGTTCTACTGGAACAGACAGCACAGTAAAGTGCCGCTTCAAAACAGTGTTCTTGCCTGTCTGTGGACTCTATCAAACCAGGAGTCCTATAGGGGGGTTGCTGATCGTTTCAATATCACCAAATCCACTGTCTGCCTGCATCTCCATGAATTCTGTAGTCTTGTCACCACATATTTGTCTCACCACATTTCCTGGCCCACAGGGCAAGCCCGACATAATTCTGAGTTAGGATTTCGTGCAGCAGGATTTCCCAACACTGTCTGTGCGGTAGATGGATGCCACATTCCTATTGTGAAACCACACTGTGAGAACCCAGTAGCATACATCAACAGAAAAGTTTTATTCTGTTGTGCTTACTGGGTTCTGTGACAGTAAACGGAGATTCTGTCATGTTAATGTGGGCCACCCTGGTAGCTGGCATGATGCACGGGCATTCCGGTTATCTGCTGTTGGAAGGCTGCTTGATGAAGATCCCCAGTCCCTGGTGCCTGAGGGAATGCACATCATTGGGGACTCTGCCTACCCACTATTGCCTCAGCTTATGAGGCCATACAGGGACAATGGCCATTTAACTGCTCGGCAGCGTCGTTTCAATCAAAAATTAAATGTTGCACACGTGGTCATTGAGCATACCTTTGGCCTACTGAAAACGAAGTTCAGGAGGCTCAAATGTTTGTACATGAAAAACATTGCAAACATTAGCACAGCAGTCACTGCCTGTTGCATACTTCACAACATGTGCTTGGAGGAAGGGGAAGCAATTGAAGTTGATGAGCAGGTTGAAGCAGCAGATAACAGGGCACCGCATCCCCAGAACCAAGATGCAGTGTTGCACAGAAATCAGATTTGTGACCTTTTGTAAAGAGCTCACACACACACCCCCCCCCCCCCCCCCCCACACACACACCCCCCCCCCCCCCCCCCCACACACACACACACACCCCCCCCACACACACACCCCCCCCCCACACACACACCCCCCCCCCCCACACACACACACCCCCCCCCACACACACACACCCCCCCACACACACACAAATAACCACTGTCATATTCTTTGTGGAAGACATTTGTTTTTTATTTCCTTTCCTTTTATGCCCACAGTATTGAGTATGTAAGTCGCTTTGGATTAAAGCGCCTAACATGTAATGTCATCCAAAATGATTGGGCAAGTAAAAAATAAATGCATATATATGAAAACTAGATATGGTCATTTTCTGCACATGTCAATAGCAGTTGACTATCTTCTTTGAAAATGAAATAACTATATATACATATGTACACATGTACTTGGCAAATAAATAATAATTGCATATAAACATTGTGAACACTTAGTGTATACAAATACAAATATTACAAGGCGATTGCCAGGGATGAAATAATAACTCAACTGCATAACGAGGAAAATAAATAACTAATCTAAACAATATTACTTCCATAAACAAACTGAGGTGGTGTTCTTTATAAACAAATTAATTCAGGGAATACCCAGTGTGGGGGAAATTATGGCATATTGGGCTTGTCCTGCAAAAGCTCAATGATGCGCTCTTGTTGGCTCCCAATGGACTTTAACTGGGAAACAACTTCTCCCATCGCAGTCAACATTTTAGCTTCAAACCTCCTCCTATTTCTCTCCTTCAGCCTTCTCCGGCGCTCCTGTTCTGGCCGCACCAGTGTCTCCAGTGCACTGGTCCTCCTCTCCGAGTGGGCCTCATACAGGTCGTAGAAGGAGGGATGGGAGACTCGAGACCGGATTGATCTAGGCTGAGTGGTGGGCAGGGTCATGGAGGGACCAGGCTGGCCCTCAGAGGCACACGGCAGTGTGGTGGGCAGGGTCATGGAGGGACCAGGCTGGGCCTCAGAGGCACACGGCAGTGTGGTGGGCAGGGTCATGGAGGGACCAGGCTGGGCCTCAGAGGCACACGGCAGTGTGGTGGATGGTTGTGAGGCAGTGGGTAATAGAGGGGTGGAAACAAGAGTGCCTGGAGGTGCGCTCCCAACACCGCACCTCCCAAACAGGTTGTCCATTATCTGTGGAATTGCAGAATTGTTAAAATGGAAATGTTGCTTTTACCAACTAGATGTGCAAGAACAAACTTCTTACCCCATAATATTCCCCCATTATTAAAAATACGTTTGTATACTGCAAGGTAGTGTTAATTAGTAGTGTCACTAAAGTATTATTTAAGTATTATTTATGAAGTGGAGTAAAAGCACACGATTTACCTCTGAATTGTAGTGGAGTAGAAGTACAGAGTAGCAAATGTAAATACTCAACTAAAGTACAAGTCCCTGAAAATGTAAGCAAGTAACTTTACACTAGTGTCAGTAACTTTTTTAGTAATTGGTTTCACAGCAGTTTCATTGTTATAATGAATAAACCGTTATACGACGTCAGTGTCGAAATTAGCCAAATATGGTTAGCTCTTATCTGCTAATCATACGCAGGTCCACCGTCGTAGGAAATATTTAAACGTTTATTTCGCACCGGGATTTTTGAAATTAGTATTATAGTAATATAGTAAACGTTTTTTAGACCACGAAAATAGATTTTATAACGTATCTCGCTGCTGGATAGTTAATTAAAAATACGTTTTGACCTTTCCTCGGATGTTTAGAGTAAACGCGTGATGACGGGTGCTGATTGATTGATTGATTGATTGAAAAGTTTATTAACAGCTTGTATATTGGGTACAGTACAGTACAGCTCAAAACATACAATTGTTAAGGGGATGCAGACCAGAGAAAGACTTTCGTCTTGTTTACATCAGGGTCCCCCATTTCCAATTCATCATGTCATTTAAGACATGACATATTTGACATACAGATGGCTTACAGATGCATGATTTCTACAGCCGGTTTTTAAAAAGCTCTGTTACCTCTGAGACAGAAGAGTCCTCCGATATAGAAATGTCCTCTTTTCCATTGGGGGTTTTGACAGTGATCACCATCATAGATCCTCCTGAAGCAACAGTGTTATCCATGTTGTCATCCTCCGTGCGATCTGTGTTGTTATTGTCGGCCATCTTTACTACTGCTTCTTCTTCTGTGTTACTTCCTGTGCAGTTGAAGCCACCACCCATCGGTCTTCACACTGTTGCATATTTGGGATATACATTGTCATGAATAAAAAAAAAACGTTTTTGGTTACTTAGATTTGTTCTTAGTAATAACTATTTAGATGTATACTTTTATATATATCTTTTTTTTCTTTTTAGTTCTTTTACATACAAATCGGATTCCTTGAGTTCTTAAAATAAGGTAGGTAGGTAAACACATAAGAAAAAAGTTAAACTGGTAATAAATACAAAAATTGCCATCAAAACCAACAAATACAAACAATACAAAACGTTTTAAATTACATTTAAATTATTAAAAAAATGATATGTATGTATAATGATACAGTGCAGTCATCAACATCATGTCCTGAAGTGCAAATATAAACCATTAACTAAAATGTTACTTGTACTAAAGTGTGAAATGGAAAATGTAGGCTACTACTTCTAAGTATTCAAAGTAAAAATGGTCAATGCTGAAAAATGGCCCCTTTAATTTTCAGATATTTCTATATAATCTAGACCAGTGTTTCTCAAACTTTTTCATACCAAGGACCACTTAACCAATACAAAAACACTCGCGGACCACCTAACTCCACAAATACACGTGTGACGAAGGTGTTGTGCTGCTATATCATGCAATTGAAAGTGAAACTTGAACTCGCTCCATTGCGGAGATATTACCGTGAGAGTGCGAAAAATTTAAATTTATTTATTTATTTATTTCAAATGTTTTACCAATATACTCACAGACCACTAGGAGGCGCTCACGGACCACACTTTGAGAAGCACTGATCTCGAGTATAAATGTAGGCCTTTATATTGTCTCCCACTTGAATAATTGATTAATTGACCTATTATTTCATCTGTATGTAATTGTTTGGATCTTAATGTTTATACAATATAACATTACATTTTTTAAAGCTCTTATCATGTGTCTTGTAGGCAAAAATCCCTTAAGCTGTATTTGATTAAATGTACAAGGTTACATTTCACCATGGGCGTCACTTTGTTAGAAAAAGTGGTGGGGAAAATTTCTCCAGATTCAACAGCATAGCAGAAGACAAAATATGTCCCTCCCCTGGGTGTTGAACTTTAAGCACCTGTGTGAAAAACCAATGCATAGACCGTCTTCTAGACTAAGACCACCAATGTGTTTTTAGATTAATGAATGCCCAACTAAAGGTCTTGTTGTGATGTGATTTGAATTGAATTTGAACCTTTATGAACACAATGAGCACACAAGTATGGAGGACAGAACATGAAATAAGTCAAAAATAAATAAACAGGAATAAATGCAGGTAGAAAAATAATAGAAGAATAAATGAATGTGAAAAAAACAGATAAATAATTAAATGTGGAAATAAATAAATGAATGTATAAATACAAAAATAAAAGTTGAGAATAAAACAGAACACACATTTTACATCTTTAATGTATTTCTACATTCATTTTCACTTACATTTATATATTTATTTGTCTGTGCGTGTTTCACACAAAGTTGTTTTAATTGGTAGCCTTGTATTCTGTGGATAGACACTATTTATAACAAACTTTCAATTGCTCTGAAAGTTTCAACAAGCTCACCTGTCTTTAACAACATCTTTCAGTTGCTATAATATTTGATTGCACCTCCTCTGACCAGTCCCACTTTTGGAAGCTTTGGGTCAAGCTGTACACAATGCAAGGAGAAACACAGTGACTCTTCTCTCTTCAAAAGCTTACAGCACCGGGAATTTCCAGCATATTCATGTTCTGTATAAACTGTAAAGCCCCCTGAGACAAAAGTACAATTTGTGATATTGGGCTAAATAAATAAACTTTGATTGACTTTGATTGATAGATTTGGCTCAATAAGTACACTTCACTTCAGAGCCCTCAAGAGCCAGATATAAATGTTTATTAGCGTCAACAATTGTGTTGCTATTAAAGGTTTTGCTACTGCCTAAAACTCAGTAACAGGAGTGTAAGGGATGGGATTTTTTAACAGGTTTGAGATCTTTGATTTGAAGCTCTTCTCCACTATAGCAGTGAGATCACGAACCAATTTAACCAGCAGCACACAAAGAAAAATCAACATGATAACTGCATGGCTGTGACAGTCAAATGTGACTGGAATATGTACTGGTGTCTTTGGCTGAAGGGGTAAATGGATGCCTAAAAACCAGAGGTTTGGTGGTTCACCTCAAGGCAAAGTGAGGTGTGTTGGGAGGCAAGATAGCATGCAAGTGTGGCTGAATTGGTGAAGATCACGTGAGTTGGGAGGGCGGTCAAGGGCGGTCAACACGAGTGCAGACCAAACACCAGTGTCATTTTGGAGATAGCCTGCGACTATCTTGGACAAAGTTATAGTGGGGCCGGTGCCAAATCCGGCAACACCATCGCCTGGTCTGCCACATCTGGAAGCCCCTCTTTAGTTTAGTGACGAGATGTGTACAGACCCGACGGGTAATAATGGATTATGACGGAAATTTGATGAGCCTGTCCGTCAAAATGACGGGCAACGAAAAACTCTAACGCCACCTCTGGCTGGCAGACTCTCAACAATGTCACCAGTTATGTGGTCAAGATTATAGCTTAGTCATTATCTTAGTATTGCACTGGTGTGGCTGCTTGCATTCAAGATAATTCCTGTTAAAGATCAAATCTAATCTTAACCAATTATTTGATTTAGGAACTCCCCTTCTAAAACACCCTTAAAAACAAACACCACCACAATCGGTACTAATATATTTGTATGTCTGACATCAAGAACAATCAGTCTGGACTGATATTTGTGGTCCACGCCTACAATTTTGCAGATAACCAAGCAATATAAATCAGGGATGTTTAGTTGAGCCGTCCACATTCTGAGCATTGGGTTAGTTTGCTGTGAAATCCTCCTGGCTGTAAGGTATAGTACCAATTTGACCTGATGGTGTTAATAAAATATTCCAAGTGAAAGTACCTTGGATTTCAAATGAGTAATTTATGAATGCATGTTTTTAGATTATGATTGATTTAGATGAATGCGTGTTTTCTATTTTAGATTGCATTTCAGCAATGAAGTCTGGCCTGCTTTTCCAGTTCATATTGGTATCTGTCACGTGAGTATACTTTGAACATGTTGCAAGTAAAACACAAGAATAGATATGTTGTTATTAGGCTGCAATTTTGTGGCATTTGAGTTTAAATAATCTTTTTCTAAACCCTCAGTGTTTTCTGCCATGGAAATGACCAATTCTTCAATGACGATGCAAACCTCATTCTCCCGGGGTCCTACAATATTCCATGGATGGCGGGCATTCAGGATTTCCGCACCCTCTCTCTCCTCACCTTCCCCGGTGCCCACGACAGCATGGCCCTGCACGGCGGTCGAGAGGCTGAACACCAGGCTTGGTCCCTGAAGGATCAACTTAGAGCCGGCATTCGTTTCCTAGATCTCAAAGTAATTAAACTGGGTCACACCCTCTATGTCATGCATGGGGTGATGTACCAGCACAGCACTCTCAGGGATGTCATTGACACTGTCCAAGCCTTCCTGTCAGAGTTTAAGACTGAGGCTGTGCTCATTAGAGTCAAACCAGAGTCTTTTGAGAAGAAAACTATCAATGAAATGGTGCAGAGTCTAATTGGCAACGACCAGAATGTGTGGGTGAACACTGCAATGCCAAATATGGGTCAGGTCAGGGGGAAAATTGTCTTTTTGCAAAAGAGCACCTTCACACTGGGAATTCCCCTCATAGATACAGACGGAAAGCATTACAATAAGGTTAGTGAAGTTAAAAAGAAAGACAAAATGATAAGTAAGCAGCTGAACCAAGCCACTGAAGCTTGTGGGGGTGATAATGCTATTTTGACTGACAGTACTGGCACAGGCTTTGGTACTTTCAGGGGAATGTTTCTGACTCCAAAGCGAGTCGCTGAAAAGGTAAACCCATGGCTCAATCAATACCTGAGACAGTTTTACCCAAATCAGCCCAGACCATGCTTTGGTATCATTGCCATGGACTTCCCCGGCATTGACCTCATTCAAACTGTTATCAATTTAAACTATTGATGATAATGCAATGCACCCCACATGAGCTTGAGTGGGCTTATATCTGATGATTCACTGATGACTTTCATTCTTTCCCTTCACTGTACATTCTTATGTAGCCGAATAACTGGAAATCATAAAGCAAGCTGATTGCATCTTGTGACCATAATTATGACAAAAATAAATACAATTATATTGCTTTCTCATTGATCTGAAGCTTGTGTTGCTTATTGATGTTATTTCACCAAACTACTGCAATACTGTCTTCATTTATAGGTAAAAGTATCATGTGCAAAAGCTTAGTTAGGTGTTTGTTTGATTGTTTCAATTTCTTCATGTATAAACTGTGTTTATGCCACAAAATAATAATAATAATACAAATATTGTCCTACATTTTAGATAATTACATAGTCAGATAAACAATATGTAATATACAGTATATTAGCAGGTCAATTAACAAATACAAAAATGTTTAAGTCGTAGAAGTAGCATATCAATGAAAATCACGCCCAGTATCGTTGTGTGCAGATTGATGATCAGTAAAGGGTTACCTTTGCTTCCTGGGAAGGGCGGTACTTCTGGGAACTCTCTCTCGCTCTTCCCGGTTCCCAAATAATAACTGCGCAACAACCAGACCGAACCAGACACATTTCTTCAGGTAGAAAGAACTCGCTAGATTTGTAACCATACAAGCAGGTAAGGGCTTCTGTCGTGTTTTATTTAGTAGGCTATACATCGAGATACAGATACAGACGGAAAGCATTACAATGAGGTTATGTTTCTTATTGAAATGAATACAACTTTATTACTCTTGTCTTCATTTACGGACTGAACGCCACAGTGTGGCAAACCGTGTCTCGAAGCCTGCTCGAAGCATACAGTACATTACATTAAACTAATTTATGTTTTAAAAACAAATAAAGTAGCAGGCTTCGCTCCGTTCTTTTATCGAAGCCCATTTCCGCATAAGGCCTTTTAAGGCTAACGGGAACAAGGGAAGACAAAAAGTAAGACTTGTAAAGGAAAACATTCTCTGTAAGGTTTTAAAAGGACACACTTTTAAAAAATAAAGACGTAGCCTAGTGTTTAAAACATAATGACTACGTTTTTGAAAATAAAGGCTTAGTAGCCTATATATTTCTGTATTATCTATAGGACTAAAGACATTAGTTTATAAATCTAGCATAAACCATCTCTTCTGCTTTTGAGATTAATGTATTTAAATGCTAACTCCTTGTTTAATAAAGACATAGGCTAATACTAAAATAAAAGGATCTAGAAATAATATCTCAAAATAGCTAACGCAGGTTCTCAACATACTTACATAGTTTCTCAATATAATGAAAAGTATTCTCATAATAATGACACTTCAACCTTATAAGTTCTCTCTAAGTAAAAACATAGGCTTATTATCACTTATCACTACCTCAAACGCAATCACTTCCTCAAACTCATTGTTACATTTTTGAAGGAATTCGATTCACAAAATGTCTCAAAAGGAACTTGTTTTCCCTTTATTTTCTTTATTATATATATTACTATAAAAGTTCATTATTTACGCCGTTTAGTGGTAGCTGCTCTGTTCATAGTACAGGTTAGCAGCCCCATTTACAAAAGCAAGGGTTTTTAGAAACCTGATAGATATGAGAAAACCACTCCTGGGTTTACAGCCAAAATGGCAATTTCACAAAACTGTGGCTGAGAAAAAACCGTAATATAGCAAATTAAAAGCTCTCTCTTGTTTCTTTCAGTCTACAGGAGCAGGCAGGATGTCTCTCTCAATCTCCAAGACTGAGGGCAGCACTGTAATCACTTTGACCTCTGACCCCCAAAGTGTTTGTCCTCCTCTGTACCAAATCCTCAAAAACCTGTGCTGCAGCCCAATTTGCTGCTCTGTGTCCCAGCACCTGAGGAGGCTCCAGAACACCTCTCAGACAGTACTGGGGGTGAGTTATTTGTCTTTTGTCTTGCAATAAATACATACAATATAAGATTATACTGTATAACAGTTCTGCACCACATAGTGACTTGTTATGTGCTGTTGTACTGTACAGATGTTTGTGGTTCATGCTAGGTTTTCTTCTCCACAGACTCTGCAGATTATGGTTGGGCTGCTCAACATCGGCATTGGTGCGATCTTTGCTTTTACTCCCATTTGGAATATGACCGGGTTTTCCTTTTGGTTAGGAGCATTGGTAAGCAAACCAATGCTTACATGTTTTTTTATATTGTTATTTGTATCATAACCAAAGCCCAACAGTACGTTTCTTGGGTTGTCTACTTAGTGACTTAGTCCTAAAGAGATTAACCTAAAGGCTTTTTTTCCTTCAGATTCAGAATCAGATATCCGTCCAAGAACAAATGAATGGCTCAGTTAAAACCAATCACTTCTGTACTGTGCTGTGTTTTGAATATATTACAGACTTCTGCCAAAACCAAAGTGTGTTTTTCTTAATTCTCTAGTTCTTCTTTAGCTCTCAAATGATACAAAGCAGATCATTTATCTCCTATCTAGTAGCAGGCTGCACTCACACCCAGGCCAATGTAAACGCCAGATGGGTATGACCTCCCTCTTGGTGCTACAAATGCTGTTCAGTTGAACCAATTAAAGACACTGGAATTACTTGGCTGAATTTAAGTGTTTGCATGGAAGAATGTAGGTAAAACATTTTTGTTTCTGTCTCTAGTTCATGTTGTTTGGCATCGTTTCCATTTTGTCTGAGAAGTACCCCAGTCCATGTCTGGTGAGTATGTCAGCTTTTGTACTTGGCACACGCACCATTTTGAGCATTTATACCTACATTGTCTTGGGGAGGGCATAATGAAGGAGCAATGCCACCCAGCTGTTAAGTGGGAGAAAGTTGGAGGCTTTTGAACTTGATGAGCATTTTTGTCATGCTGTGTTTTTGTGTCTTTCATTCAAGGTCATCGTCAATGTGATTCTGAATCTTGCAGGAGTTGGTTTTGCCATTACAGCCATCACACTCTACAGCCTCAGAATAACAAGCATTTGGCTGTATTGGTTGTGTGAGGACAATCAATATTACTATCATCACTCACCCACTGCATCTTCTGGGGAAAAGAGAATGGAGCAGAATTGCTTGGAAATCAAGGACATGATGTTGGTGAGTGTGGAAAATGTCCTTACCTGGATATTGTCTTGAATGATCACCATTTACAACTGTTTACAACAGGTTCACTAAGAATAAACTAATGAAGAAAAATCAGCGATGACAATTATTTGATAATTAGTCCTTTGACAAAAAAGAACTCACCCATAAGTTTGTTAATTAATCAATATATTTGTTTAGTAATATATCAAATGATAATGTCCAACATGAGCTGGTTTTAGCTTCTGAAATTAAAATTCTTCTTCTGAAAATTGTGATCACCGTTATTTGAGTTATATGGATATTATTGTGGTTTTCTGGTATTTTTTGCCCTGAGTAAATAACCAGATGTCCTGATGACTGGTGGTAATGTGTAATCTGTATGTTAATGGACAGAGAGTTAATGTTTTATATCTGTGCTAGATCAATAGGGGATTTTCAACATCATTAAAACCAATAAGAAGTCCCACAAAAAGCCACATTTGAAGGAAATTGTGCAAGTTAGAACACAGTCTACAAATGTAATTATACCTGAATATAATAAGCAGATGTGATTTGAATCTTTAAAGAAAGCACTGCTTCTCGTGTCCCACCAGATGCTGTTGTGGAGCATGCACGGTCTGATGATTGTCCTCTCAGCCCTGGAGCTCTGCCTCACCATCAGCTCCGCCGTCCTGGGGATCAAGGCTCTGAAGAGAAGGGGGAAGGACGAAAAGATGGTATGGTCTCCAAAATAACATCTCACTGTCAGAACTGTAAACATTTATATTCAATAGAAAGACTCCTTTACTTTACAAGTTGTTTAAATGTGGCCTTAAGGGTTAGAAACAGGTCAAGATTTGAGTATGTCTTAATGATATTATTTTTCTTTTTTTACAAGAATGAGGAACCTGAATACTACAAGCCCCTGCTGGACGAAGTCCCTGGTAACCCCAAGGTCTAGCTAAAAAACAATCCTGCTTTCTGCTATCAGTCACAGGTTTTATAATCAAACAGTGGACTGAATGTGCTCTAATGATTTACTCAAACTCAGCTGGTACTTTCGCTGCCAATCTTCTGGCCCGTTTCCTACACGTTTTCTTTAAAAAACGTTTTCACTTATTTTTTTGTATCTCAGATAATACGCTTTATATTGGTGTCTCTTTCTTCTGTGTAAATGTTTTAAAGCTGTTGATTACAATTTCTATTGAATAAGGTACCTTACGTTTAGCTTGTTTGGAGGTAAAAGGGAGGTTTGTGCGTGTGTGAAATACTGAAAAGGTTTTTCTTTGCTCTATTGCACTATTTAGTCATTTAAAAAAAGTAATGTAATCGAAACTGTTGACTGTCACAATAAAAACACTTGCTCTGTTTGTAGTTTATTGTGTGCTTTATATTAAACCCCTCTGAGATATTGAATGAGTTCAATACTTAGTTGTGGTATTTTAATACAAACAGGAAAGATAACTAAAGTGTGAGGTTAAGGAAGTATAATTTGAAAAGGTAATTATATTACCTATTGAGCTAGTGCCACCTACTCTTTATTTATATTTAATTAATATGCCTTTATTGCAAACTAAATGTAAATCATATCCCACTTTTATATTGTGTGAGCTGTAATTTAGCCCTTCAATATTTTTTTATTTGTCAGATGGTTTACATATTTTTTCTTCACGATCAACTTATATATTTTCACTCTTTTATTTCGGTTTTATCTGCTATTTGGAGATGTTTATATTGCATAATTGTTTTATTTTTGACTATTTATTTACAATTTGGGATTAATAAAGTATATCTTATCTCCAATAGGAAAATGTTAAAATTACACAGGACACACTGCACTTTATTTCCCACTGTTTAATGCCATGATTATAACTTTAATTGTCCTCTTAAGGAGGAACCAATCCATACGCTGATGGTGTCATTAATCTACCAATCAGGCTATCAAAGCAAAAAACATGTCTTGCTCCAGTTTAGATAATATGATTAAAGACAGTCTGCTCAGAGTCAAATCCAACCTGTAGAATATATGTACTATATGGGACTATATGAACTGAACCATGTCTTTAAAGTCAAGTTTTGGAATATATCTTAATACTATCTTTTGTATCTACACTTTAC